TTGTACATTTTTTGTACCATATTTTTGCCAAAACCAAAAGGAACTGTTTATTTTTTAACTTTATTGTAAATTATTATTGTGGTGTTACCAGCTAATGAATGAATGAGCACTCTGAGACTATATGGACTTGGCACTGAAAGACAACTCTGAAACAATGATGAGTTTGGGAAAGTTCTTCTGTACATCTAGATCAGTAGTGCCCAACTTTAGTAAAGGAAAGTTTTCAGTTTGTTCAATTAGGCAAAAAATGAGTTAAATTTGGTAATCAGGAGGAAAAAAAACAGAAATGTAATGGCCTTCCAGCACAGGAGTTGTGCACCTTTAATCCAGAACATTTATAACAAACCGCATCAATGGTGGACATACAGTAGAACATACTGTCCACATCTCACAATTTATCTTACTATTTTGTTAAATGTAAATTTCCATTTTTTCTATAATGAAGTGATTCATTGAGAAACCAAAAATTCAGTTTCTTCCATGATGTTTGCAAAGTTCTACTTGGGGTATCTCTGTTATGTTGCATAATTCAATTTTTTTGGGATCATTGTACATTATAAAAAACAAAAATCATTATAAGAGCAGTTGCACCATTCTACTATACCAGTATCAAGGTAATTTCTTACTTTTAAACTCTGAATGTAACACTGTCTTTTCACACATGTAATGAAAAGAACTGAGCTACAAACGCAGACCAAAGAATAAAAAGAAAAGGCCATGTTTAACCATATACGCAATCATTCTCATCTACGGACTGAAAACCAAAATATTGAACAAACTGCAATTTTAAATGAAACGTATACATTATTTTTAATGAAAATGGAAACACTAATAACACAACTAAGTACCATGCTGTATGTGTTATCAAGGTTTAAATCTGAATCTTTGGCCATTTACTGATGCATACAATCTGGCAGATGGAATTGAATGTGGGAACTAAACACCTTACAGTAGTTGCCCACATCCTTAAAGTTCACATAAGTGCACTGATTGGAAACACCTAGCCAGAATGTGGCCTTGGACAAAATAGTATGACATTTTTACTGGGTTGAACCAAAGATTTAAACATAATACATACAAATTTAAAAATCACCAGGCATTTTTATGTGTCATTTGTCCTTTCATGCTAAATCAAACTTTGCTAAATCAAAGCTTTGTAATCTAATATGTACAGTCAGTGTGCTTTAGATAGGACATTTCATTTTAAGGTTTAAAAACATTTCATTTCAGAAAAGCAGAAAATGAACAATGTTTTTGGTGTCTTTCTGGATCTGCTGTTCAGAGACCAAGGATTAGCAACACCACCTGAATTTGTTTTGAGTTAAAGAACATTCATCTTCCTTTTGGCAGGAATCCCACTAGGAAACTGATGAATAATAATTCATTCTGCTCCATCACGGCCACGAGTTAAAAATATCACTTTGACCCAAGAATGTGGGGAAGACTGAAACCAATCCAGCTGTGGCTTATAAGGCACTCAAATCTCCATCTGCACACTATGAATTGAGAGTACAGCACAATTTAGCATGCGACTGAAGATCAAAAACCTCATTACATAAAACTCAAGTGATTAAAAAAATGCCTTCTGTTGTTTGTATTTATTGGATTTATAAGCTATTGTATTCAATCTAAACAGATGCCTATTTCACTGCAGGTTTAAGCAGGGCATTCACCATTTAGTATTTTAATTTTGGGAGTGTAGGATCCAAATTTACTATCTTGCCTATTTTCTATAGTCCATGTCATCTTGAACATTTTTGTGATTTCTTCAACTGATTCTAACATGAAGCTTTAATTTTTCTAGACAAGCATAACACAAAAGCTCCTTTTCTGTAATTGCTTTTTTTGTAACTTAAAAATAGTGGTGTCTTTTAAGTTGTAAATTCTAAAGTAAAAATATATAAAATAATTGCTATTTGCAGTAATTTAAAATAACTCTTATACAGATTTTAAATAAATGAAAATGTGACTGTGACAGAGTGTAAGCAATATCAATTGTATACATTTGCCAATTTAGTTTGACCATAAAAGCTCATCCAACTGGCTAACCAGAAATCTGCTGTGAGGGTCTGGTCTCCAGGAGTTCTGTTGCTAACGCAAAGTTTATTGATTTGTTTTGTCATACTGTATAAGAGCTTCTGAGCTGCATTACGCTCTATGTTCTTCTTCTGAATCAGTTACAAAAGAATGGCTTTTCTTTAAATAATGAATCTGTTCAACTTTTACCATCCTGCCTAAGTCATTCTAATAAACACTCAAAATCTAACAGAAATCAATACACTTTCTTTAATCAAATAAATCTATTTGAACAGTAAATCATTGTGAACGGAATTTGCATCCAATTTATAGTTTATAGTTTGTTGTGAACTTTGGTGCTGTATCTTTTGATGACTCCTACCAGTTAATGACCTGCCGGCTGCAGTCCATGCAAGCACCACTATGTGAAACTGTTAAACAACTCAATTAGAGTGTGAGGACATTAAGGATTTCCTACACATGTGAGCTTTACAGCTTACAAGTAATGTGTGAAACGTGTGTCTTAATTAAACTCTATTCACTGCATGGATATATATTCATACAGTACATACAGTATTTAGCAGCTATAAGGATTTAAAATACAGGTACTATATATACACTGTAAGACAGAAAATCTGGCACACTGACAATCTTACCAGTACAGTAAGATACAAGCCATAGAATCTGCTTAGTTTAATTCAGCACATTTACTCTATTAAGCTAAAATAATGGGGTACCAGACTCTCAGGGGTTCCTACTGTAGGTAAGGTTCCTGGGAAGGTCTTCATGCATTGGTGGATCAAAAGGATTATTTATAAGCACATGCTTGAAAAAATGTCCCATTTGTAAGATATTTACTTTTATGAGATGAGATAATTACTTTTTTTAACGTTAGAAATGTCAACATTGAATATCTGAACACAAAACGAAACAGAAAAAAACAAGAAAACACACAACACTATATGAAACGGATCATTTCCCAGTGTTTCTACCACCGCTCTGAAAATAACGACAGATAACAACTAAACATAGGCTATTCGACAATATACAGCAACACAACTGCATCCCACAAACAGGAGTGTAATTCACCAGGAGAGCAGTGGAGAGCTCTAGTACACACCTTCCTTAAAGGACAATGTTTGGGGAGAAAGTCTCTGCAACTGGTTTCTTAGCTGCTGTAATATCAGCCAATCAAATTCTTCTATGAGAGGAAGAGAACACTACTGTACAGTCAGCTTGCAGCAAATTTTTACACATATTTGAAAAAAAAATACTCTATTGCTTTTGTTTACCCAAAATAATATTTTCTAACTTAAAAAAGTAATAAGCATTTCCACAAAAGGAAAAGAGCCCAAACTCATGTAAACATGTAAATGGCAGGACTGCTTGAACTAAACACCTTTACTAGCTGAGCCACCAGTGTGTCCAAGATTTTTAAAGGCCATGCTATAAAGTAGAAATGTGTATATAGCATTGCAACCTTAACTTTATAATTCATAATTTTCTTCAAAAAAGTACAAAACTAGTAAATTCCTATTTGTTTGACAGCATATACAGTACATGGACAAAAGATAAGTCACAATACAAAGGCAATAAGAAGGTACTAACATAGAATAACCCCCAGAAACATGATTTAGCCTTCATATATTAATGTTATGTTAATATTCTCACCACAGCATTTTGGGATTCAGGTTTTCTGTTTTACTTTCTTTATATCGAGGCAAAAAAATAGGACTATACTATAATAAAATATACCGCGCTCCAATAAGTTTGAGAACATGTTGAAGTTAATGTTGCTAGATACTACCATAATCATTACCATTATAACCTTTGCTTTCAGAAAGAAAATTGAACTTCCCAGTTTATTTTCAGATAAATGCATTCATTATAAATCAATTTAATGTAACTTGGTACAGTTCTTAAAAACATGGAAGTGCAAATTCATGCAACATCTAATTTATTTGCCAAACTTATTGGCAAATAAATTAGATGTTGTGACTCCATGCTTTTGGTCACATACATATTCTTTGCCACAATAAATGTGCCTGTAGGAGATTCTGTTTTCTGCTTGAAAAACACTGATAATTATGATACATTTTTTTAGATCAGGGAGTACAATTATCACAACTATCACAACAAATGATAATAGTTAATGATAAACATATCCTATAAGTAAAATGAATAGATTTGGCTAAACTAACTAATATGTGATATTTACTAACTGCGTTTTAAGGGCCTACTAATTGCATTTTAAAGGGAGGTGTCTCGTAATAGCACAAACAACTGTTTCCTATCATTGTATGTATTTTTAAATTCATATTAATACCTACGGTGATAAATCAAGCGTTGAAGAAATTTAGCATATTGACAACAGCATAAGGTGCTTTTTAGCTCCTGATACTAATAAAAAAATGCCAATAAGTATAAATAACAAAAAAATCTGGGCACATACTAGGACCAGATGTAACGAAAGGCTGCAAATTTTGAGAGTCAGAAACCTGGTGCAATGAAAATTTGTTGAGGTTTTAAGAAACATTTTGTGGAGGCCATTTTGTCTTTGAGGTTTGAGCCCACTGTAGTCAGGTATTTTAGTTCTGTTCATGAGCTTTGCATGTGAAAAACCGATTGCTTCTTCTGCCATCCTTTTGCCAATACTTACATAAAGACTGGGACACTTATTTCTGCTTGACACCACACAAACTAGTGTAAAACTAGTGTAATGTAATATTTTAGTCTATAATTCATTCTTTAACATATCTACTCTAAGAACAGTGGACACAATGTTTATACTGCCAGGGATTACTAAAGACATACAAACTGCTGTCCATTTGCAATGCTACTGCCCTTAGCACATTTGAGCCTGTGCATCACTTATTGGTCAATACATAGCATCAACTTTGCTCCTGGTTACACCTCTGCCCTGATAAATTGTTTCTCAACCAAATCAAACCAAGCCAAAGCTATTTGTGAAAAACACAACTTACAGTGAGAACGGAGAGCAGATCTTCTATTCTGCACTCTGCTTTCAGCCTCTCTTTAAACATCCGCACAGTCTGATGTTTTAAGTAGTAATAGGAGGCAATACGTCCATAAGTCAAGGGCACAATGGTACGGTTGTCCTAAGACAAAGAGAAAGTGATCATTAGTTTCTTAATTTTTTTTCTCAAACAGATACACCTCAGTAAAGTAGGACTACTCATTAGATACATTTGCCATGTGAAGACAATTTTGTGTAATCAAGTAATAGCATGAAATAGTGCAAAGTTTTTCCTTTGTAAATGTAAGATTAAATAGAAAAAATAAAACATTCTGAGCAGAAAACTAGTTGTGAAACACATTAAAAAGACTGTATTAAAAATGATAGTGTCAAGATCTGAGGGCAAAGAAGAGCTTGCACTCTGGAATACACATGCAAAAATGAAAGTGACACAATAATTTTAAAATAGATTAATGTCTGCTTTATGTACAGACCTCATAGCATATGAGAGCTAAAGGCATCATAATATAGCACTCATTAATACATTAGCTAAATTACTATGATTGTCAAAGTCCAATATTTTGTTGAGGCCAATGTAAGAAAATTATTTTTAAAAAGAACAAAACAAAGTTAAAACGTACCTCTCCTATTTCCATACAGTAAGAACATTCCAAATCCCTTAGAGACTTTTCTACCAAGTTAGACAGGAACTTGTTGATGGTGTCATGGTTTATATCATCCAAATTGTAATAACTGAAAGAAAAAAACAAAATGAACTTGGCAATGCAATTTACAATCACCTGTTTCCATATATATGTTTGTTACGTTCTGGAAAGCAAACACAATGCCACTTGTGATACAAGAGATCCTTGCATCACTTATCACTGTCTTTTATAATTGTGTAAAAATGAATTTATAATGGACAGATTCTGACCATACTTCATAAGCAGTAAACAAGGTAATGGGGAAATGGAGAAAAACAAAAAAATAAAAATAACCATACCGTCACATTTTTTATACCAACTTACTTTATAAGTAGGTTATAATTACTTGTGGTCATGGACCATCAAATTTTTGCTAAAATAATGATACTCAGATTTGACTTAAATTTCCTAAGGGACAACACACTAAAATTTTCCATATCCAGTGGTTTCAGATGACTACAAATGGCTGCAAAGTCTAGACAGTCTGTTATACAGTAGCACCAGACCAAAGCTTACTTTAAATCACTGTATCCTTTATCAGCTCACAATTGTGTAAATCACAATTTCATTAGCAGCACAGACTATCTTTCCATTAACACAGAAAGGACATTTGATTGAAGCATGGCAAACATTTACAAAGAAATAACACAGGATATCTCTTTAAAACCTTTTAGCACATAAACTAAGTTGTAAGGAATATTCGTATATTAATATAATACAGAACAATTGACAATTGTACTTAAAACCATCAATAATTGTGTTGTGTTACCATGTAAATATTAATATAGTATTACTCCTGTAAATAATGAGGTTGTTATGGCTACTTTTACAAGAAAGTTAATAAAGACAAGTTTAATAAAAAACTGTGTTCATTCTAGAAAAGTTCAACAATCAGCAACAGTAAATAATTCCAGCAACTTGAGGCACCCAAGGCTTATACAATGAAGTTTCTCATGGTGATGTACTATATTGCCTTAAACTGCACTCATATAGCTTTAATGCACTTTATCTAATCAACTATTCACAAAGAGATAATTTTATCTTCCTAAAAATCCAACAGCTTAAGCAATGGGGATTTCATAAACTCATCAGAAAGCTTGTGAACTGTTCACAGGAGGTGCTTGATTATCAAAATGCACTAAAATGTCCAGAGGGAGTCTAAATGTTATCACAAAATTGCTACCAGATTTCTTTTAGTATTAACTGAGCTGAAAAGCTACAGTAAAAATAGCTTCCATACATGTTTCACCCAATTTGTACAAGAACTAAGCACCTTATTAACTCTGAATTATCAACTTTTATTAATTTAGAAATAAAAAGTTGGAAGAAAAACAGCTATTGCAGTAGTTCCAAGTCAAAAAGTCACATCTGCTGTATGAACAATAAAATCACAGTGTGTCTTATTGATACATTTGTTGCTTGTGAACAATATTGTCAGTTCCAACAACCACAGTTTACAATCATTCTGAAACTGTAATGAAAAAGATTCCACTTAGTATTGTAAGACTTGCTGTGAATATACACACAACACAAATATATGTACAGTTGTTATATTCTTAATAAATATAAAATCTTAATTAGATCAAATATTGTACTGGTAATTCAATTAGGAACCATAAAATGATATTCTGTTTATAAAACTAGACCTGGGGGAAAAGAAGTAGGTAAATAACAGCTTTGCTGTCTATCGAGTGGGCGTTTTCACAATTTTTTATCTACAATCCATACGATAAATCCATTAATTCTGACTATTATTATTAGCTATCACTCGTTATCTGGAAAGCACCTGTGAGTCTTTACAGACAGTTCCCGGACAGCATCATAACTGCTTGCAGTGCTTTTGCATACCAAATCAACCACAGGCACACTGGCCTGTGCACCCAATTTCCACTACTCAAGCATGGCTCCTTGGCTGACAGAGTAAAGCTCACAGCGGCAAGCCTGTGACTGTAGAACACTGCTCTCACAGACACAAGGCAATGATAATTTTCAAACTAGTGAAGCACATCATGTACAAATGTAATTAATTCAGAATTCTCACAAAACCATCATGTGCCCATTGCAGGATCACAACCACGATACTTCAAGGATTTCATCAACCTCTCACTCCCATAAACACAAATTAAAATTTTGTGGCATTCAAAACAAAGGTTTCAAAGTTGAAATGAAAATATATTTAAATATGACAAGGACTGTAATTATGTACAATATACGATATGTGTGTTTCTAGGTGAACAATAACAATGTTTTATCTGAAATTAGTAAAAAATTCTCTGTTCCTTTTGCATTTTAAATATTTTTGTCCTGTTATTGAGACCCAATACATACATAAATATTGTTCTTTCCAATATTACAAAACGAAATGCTTTCACTAGGATTGTAATATCTAACATAAGATAATGAAAATTCTATGCAGGCATTTACAGCGTTCCTTCTCTATCAGTCTTTCTGTCCATCCGTGTGATTGTATATCTATTTATGTACCCATCTTTCTCTCCGTAATAAAGCAGCCTTTTCTTATCTGCACGGCTATTCATTTGTTTAACTGTGAAACACAGTTTTTCACAAATTGACTTGTCAAGATGTTAATTTATTAGGCTGGTTATTGTACTCTCTACATCAGGCAAAACCTTCACACAAGCAGGGTTGAATATTTACAAGGCTGTTAACAGGTGCTGAGTTGTTTAATGATTCTAATAGCCAGAGGCGCACTGAGAAAGCCAGCAGGATCACAATTGCAGGCTGCTGGAACACAACAATTACGAGTCCCTTGAGATGTGTCAGAGTCAGAGGCAGTTTCTTCCTAATAGCTCCTAGTGCCTGGGCTAGACAGGCTAACAGCCTTTAGTGGGCCTCAAGGAATCATTTATTAACAAGCACCTTGGTTTTTTTAAATGTATAGTGTATAACATTTAAATAAAGCCCCATAATTCATATTAAGCAAACTGTAATCATTTTATGAAATACATTTGTCACTTATTGAGAATAAAGGATTAATCACTATTTGTTCTTCCTTGTATGCACCTCAAATACTGTAAATTGGACAAATGTTTTTTTTCTCGCTCCCTTCAAAACATGCCTGTGAAATGACAAAAAACATCCACATTTCTTATAATTTTGATTTACAAAAAATATTAAAAAGTCTACAGAATTTTTGAGAGTCTTTTTATTGAGAGTATGAAGAGGAAGTAAGACTTTTGTCAAGCAATCTTTGTCCTCTAGGCAAGCATTTTAAAGGTAGTGATACTTTAGTAGTAGGTTTATATAAACTAGTAAAAAAGTACATGGGATTTCTATAGCATTTGCAACAATATGTATACATGTGCAATACATAATACATATATACTGTATACTTTCACTTGTAAAAAAAAAACAGATTATATACTATAGACCAAATATAAACAGTGCATTCACAGAATGCTGTCAGAAGAAATTCTCAAATACACAGTTAAAACTTAATATCACTGTAAAGGTGATATTAAAACATTTAAACATTCATACTGTAATACTCAAGGAAGATAACATATACCTGTTATAGTCGGTCATTATTTGGATACATTTTAGGCTGCTAATGTAAACTGCTCAGACCTGGCATTAAATGTTCATTAGAGGAGTCCAACAGAGGCTTGTGGTGCATAATACTAGTAGTAAAACCATTTTTCCTTTTCATTTAAATGTAGTTTACTATATGACACAAAGAAAGGTGTATGTATTTTTGCTTTTTGACAGTGGGAATTTGAGAACCTATAGTTATTTTATAATTCTTGTCTTAATGTCTCATGTTTACTTTGAGAAGGACAAATAAAGTGTAGCTGGTCATATGTGAAAGTTTAAAGTGACGTCATTCCAAGCAAAAGGTTACAGAAATGAAAAAGACATCTGCTTTGCCTTGTGAAACATTCCTGTGTGATGGCATTTTTATGGCTGTCAGCCATAATTAAACACAGTGCAGCTCTCTTGAAATGCTGAAAGAAAGTAATTCCACAAAATGTTATGGTACAAATATGCTTGTTTAGTTATGTTCCTGGACAGAGAAAAAAGAAAAAGGGAGAGAAGCTTCATTATTATCATTATTACCAATTTTCTCTTAGGACACAGCAATTTTAAATGTTTCATTGCACAATTAATTGTTTGTGATAGGATGACATGCAAGTCAAAGGCTCAGTCCAGACTGTATTTAGACACAAATATTTAGACAGTCCTATGTTCTTACTACTACGTCAGCTTTCAGTGTAAACATAAAAATAATGGTACACAAGTAACACCAATTGCAACAAAAATAAGTACGCTAGCTAGTCCACAAATGTGCATTAACCTTGGTCTCGGTCACAGCATATTCAAGTTACAAGTTCCCCCAGGACATTCATAGACTACAATGGTACTACAATGAGTTAGCAAAGCAATCCCTTTATACTAAAACCCATATTATTGTTTGATATCCAGTTGTGTAAATTCTATCTAGCAACTATTGCACATTTGTACATTACCTTAACCCCTACATATAACCCTTTCTTTGAATTTGAGATACTTGTTACTAAGCCTTTTTAGCTAACAGGACTAAGTTATTTTGTTTCATGAAAGGTGATGTGTCACTGCAGTATCTGTGATTGTAGAGTGAATTTTGTACATCTTTTTCTACATCTCAATATAAACAATCTAATACACTGTAAACAAAAGTATGCTGTGTGTGTAATTCACTGTCTGAAAAAACACTATTCTTGTATTCCTATCATATTTGAGGGCACAACTGGAATGTGCCAAAAATCAAGAATGGGAGGCATTTCTTTACCTCAAGAGGTTGTGGGAGCGCAGAACAAGCTACCCAGCTATGTTGGAAAAGCTGATATTTTCAAGAAATTGGTGAATGAGTTACCTACTAACTACCAAACAAGCCAGATGAGTTGAATGGACTCTCTTTTGTCACATCTCTTATGTTCTTATATTACCATATCATAAAAAAGAAATGTTCTCTCAAAACACACTTCAGCAGTTAAGAAGTAGTAATGTGGGAGGATGTGAAAGCACTCTTAGAAACAGTGCTTATAATAGGATTTGTGCTGCAAGTTTACAGCGGAAAAATAGTCTATGAATACCGATCTGTATGAACGTGACTCTGAAAGAGGATGCCTTTGCCCTTTGGTTCCCAATCCTGGTCCAGCGGCACCCCATTGTCTCGAAACTTAAATTACAACTTAACTGGTGATGCTTAGTGCTTTTAATTGATTTGCTTGCTTAATCAGACTTTTTTTATCTGTTTCTGCTTGTTTTCTAACATAGTTGTCCAGCAAGTGTATTATGCCAGCACATTTAGCATACAAAAGTGTAAGTAAACTTTCCTAAGCTTGTTTATGAAGAATCTGCTCCCTTATTTCTGTCTAAATTAGTGATGAAGAGACACAGGTGGGGCTGACAAAGTATCACTCCTACAATGAACTCTTTTGTTCCTTATTTAGAGTTCCAGCTGGTTACATTTGAGCTAACACACCTGAGTAACACATGCGTCAAAACGTACACTGAAATAAATTAATACATTAGCCTGCAATTAAAGAACCAAGTTGAAGCTCTTATCAAACATCTGGTGGAGACAGATCATAAATATAAATGAGTTTGATCAACTCTAATAATACCAGACATAAGTTTATAAATCTATACATCTGTATCACTTGGAAATGTGCTGGGGGCAATTAGTCCACCGTGTATCCGGATGGGCACTCATCTGAACTGGGAGGCTGTTCCTCTGAAATCAGGAGCCGGGATCCTGACACCTACCTGGCCATCTGCTACTCCGGTGGCAAACTCACATTTATGATTGATATTGAGGACAAGAATGAACAGAAATCCCTGTTATTCATGATTTAGCCTGACACTTTAAATGTGGTATACTTTGGTTAACACATTTCCGATGACAAAATGAATACAAGTACTTTGTATACATTCTTCATATATGGATGTCTGTTTCATATGTGCGTAAGTATAATAATACTTTATAAAAAAGGTGCAATAATGAAACATAATAAAAACAGAGCAAAGAGCAATTCCTTTATAAAGCCAGTAGTTTTCATAATAAATATTTTAATTATATACAGTGTGCCTTTTGCAGCTTTATTTTCAAACAGCGGTAATTTATGTTTTAACCTTGCAGTGGACAGTTCACAGTCAAAAAGGACTTCTCTCATGTCCCCAGATTATATTAGGTTCTTTTTTTAAAATAAAGCACACACTTGCTGCTTCCTGCAAAATGTGTCAGACATTTTGGAGTAAAATAATTTATCCTCATATGAAATATGAAATAGGCACCAGCTCCCCCAAACTAGACGGATAAACGGATAAACGGATGTTTTTGGGGAGAAAAAAGCTAGGAGGAAGAGAATTTTGTCTTTAATACGTCAGCAGATAGTACTGAGTAGTTGAAGGTTTTATCTCCATTGATGTTTAAACTTCCAACAAATCTTTGCACACACTGAAGAATATAGAGCACTTCTGGGGCAGCTTGCAAAGACAAAACAAATGAGGGCCTTGTGCGTTTGTAGTAAGACTGTTATTCAAAGGGGCTATCTATTAAGAACACCTGGTGTGTACCATGTTTCCATGCAGCTTGCTACACAGAGTGGGGTTTCACAGAATCAGTGAAAACAAAGAAAGATAATTCTATTGTTTTTTTAAATGTGCCACCAGGTTAATATGTATGTTTCATTCAAATACATTAAACCGCTCAGACTTCAATGCAACTTTAATCATATAGATTACAGTGTTTTTATCATAAGGAAATACAACAGATAATAAAAGTGTAATCGACTAAGTGCTGACAAAGTAGGTCTGGGTAGTGTGACTGATCAGAAACTGAGGCTGATCAGCATATTCACAACACAAACTAAACAGAAGCACAATGCTTCTCACATTTGTAAATAGATGTTAAGAGAGCTTAATAAAGCTCTCAGGACTAATGGAGAATGTTTATGCATATATCAATGCATCCATTTACAGAAAGATGATCTGTGGGCTGCTTTATACATTTTCTGAGAAATGCTCTGCAAACTAATATACAATAATACTCTAAATTGACCATGAAAATAATACTGTATACTGTATGTTTATTTCATGAGTAAGTATCATAAGTACAGGACGTCCCATATGTATGTCAGGGACCAGAAAGCGACGTATAAAAGGGAATTTTCCCACATAAGAATAATGTAAATTATTGAAAATAAGTGGAAACTTTGCCCATGCAATTTAAAGTGGGAGTTTATTATAGAACAGGGTTAGGGGTCATATGTTAGACTGTGTGTATGTTTCCTGTGTAGCTAACCAAATACAGTGCAGAGGGTCCAGTGTAAGTCCAAGTTACGTTCCTAAATAATGCAAAGTATAGTTAAATGACTTAGAAAGGGATAAGGAATAATTTAATTAGCCTGACATACATTTGTAACACACAATTCAGACACTGGCATATACCTTTAATGTTCCTATAACCCATTAAAACAACAAATAGAAATACAGCAGGTAGATAACATCAACTCTTTTCGAATTGTGATCTTTTGGAAACCATCAAATTCATTTGCTGCTTCAGGCTATTTATTTTTTTCACACACTGTTGGTGTGTTTAAAGTTACTGATCACATCTTGATCTATTGGGAAGATCACTAATAATGTGTGGTGGTAAGAACTTAACTCAAGTTTAAATTCGTATGGAACAACTCTCTCTGTAAGAATAATTTTTAATGTTAGGTTTCGATCGTCACAATATTTTTTCATTTCTGGAACAAAATAATCAATGAACACCATCATTCCTTGAATGGAGACACGGGGTGCAAGGTCAATCTAGTCAGCCTGTCTTAGGACTTTGGGACAAATCTAGAAAACCCAAGTGAGTGAAGAGAACATGCAACCCACAAGGTGCTGCAGTCCAGAATCGAGCCAGTGCTAACCACTCTGCCATCAGCATAGCACAGCACTGGCCCACGATGATTTAAGTCCATTTAAATTGGTTGAGTTAAGACTGAACATAGCAGTTACACAATGTGTTTTATAGGATTTAAATATTTCAGTTATTATCAAATCTAACAGGGATGAGTTGTGCTCTTCATTGTTCTTTCAGGGTCAATGTCTGTTCTTAAAGCAGCTTACAATGGCACGTCCAGGCAAAGAGATAAGTACTTTAAACAGCCACAGTTAAAGTTAAACTTGGTTGTTTATTTGTGCATAAAACATCTGTCACTTGTATAATATGCCTTTTTTTTAATCAACACTTATAATAACTGATTTTATAAAATAATTAACAGATTTTTTTAATATGTCAATGTGGTCAGTTACTCTTTGTTTCTGTCATTTGTCATAATTTTTCTGGTGCAATTAGTGCACATAACCCACCCACTTTAATTACACAAATCTAAAGGGTAATTACAGTAAATTTTCCATATACCAACTATTGTCTAATTAATAATTAATAATGAGGAACAATAAAGGCCTTATACAGATGAATGTTTTTTTTAATAGCTTAATTTGAGATGTCCTGGTTTGGGGGAATAGAAACCCCTTATGCAAACAAACCTTTTTTTTTTTTTTTTTTTTTTTTTTTACAGTTTGCACAGTGAAGCCTAGGTGGTGTTCAAAACAGTGGGAAAAGCTTGTAAACTACAAAGCTAAAATGAGGCAGCACATAAAATTAAAAAAATATAAGAACTTAAAAGGCACTTATTTAAAGCGGTGCTCACATGCCTTCATAAAAACAAAAAAAAATAATACATTCTTCCAATACCACCAAAATAACAAGGATGAAAGCATGGACTGAGCATTACTGTAATTTTAGGTCCTATGGTCAACGGCTGTGCAAAAAAATCACCTGCAAAAACCAATTTCCAGGATACACCTGAGAACCATGGATAGTAGTAATTCCTTCAACCTAACATTCCTTCAGCAGTCTCAATGCTAATCTGTACGAGAAAAAAATCTAAAACTGCTAAAAAAGATTACGTTTTTTTCTACAGAGTATGATTACTCCATAGATCAGTTTTCATATTGTTCTTGTTTTACAAGTAATTTTGTCAAATTTTTAAATTGTTAATTTTTCACAATGTACTGTAAAATGTTTCAATGTGTTTGTGTTGACTGTTAAAATGTCACTTGTTTTGTGCCCCACAAAGCAGACTATATTCGATATGGTTACTCGCCAAATTCAATGCATTTGATGAGAAACTAAAAAATGACAGTATATTAAATGTATCTGAGAGAATATCTTACCCTGTCTGCACATTAGAATGGCACATTTTTCACAACTATGTCAATCATCTTCAAAAGATATAGAAGTCAACATGATATACAGTATGAAGTCATACCTGGGGTTCATTACAAGACGGCGGAAGAAGTACGTCCAGGTTATGTAATCCATGGCATCCTGTTTTGATGAAATTGTTCCTGCAGCAATCTCAGCGTTCAAGTGGTCCGAAAGTACACCCAGCAAGCTGTAAAAAATCATTAGCAAAAAAAAAATCAATAAAGAAAACTAGAAATTCGATATTCAACAAACAGTAAAGTTTAATGACAAAGGAATCACTGGGTATACAATAGTCTGTATTTATTTTACTTGAAGGCTTCACTTTCTTTCTTGTCTTTGCTTTCTTAATGCCAGCTAAATAGCCTGATAAAGCTTTGCTTAAAGAAAACTGCAAATCCTTTCAGAAATCTACCAGTGAGGTGTTAATGGACAAACAAGTTTAAGTGAAAATTCTGTGCAGATTTACAATTTTACAGTACACCGTGAGCATAATTCACCTTGACTCAACAGGGAATGGTTCATAGAGGAATTTTTTGTAGAAATCTTTCTTAATGTCATGGACAAGAATCACAGCTTTCCCTTGGTCATCGAACTGTGGCCTGCCTGCACGACCCATCATCTGAAGAACGTCTTAAAAAAGAAATACAAAGGGAATATCAAATAAAATGAACAATCTAGAAAGTAACTGAAGATTGCAAAGCAAAATAATAAAAGAAATTAAAATATCAGTCTTCACATCACAGCTAATGGGATTACCTGTGATTGGATAGTCAACATAACGCCTGGTTTTTCCATCGTAGTATTCAGTTCCTTTAACAATCACAAGATGGGCAGGGAAGTTCACTCCCCAGGCCAGTGTGCTTGTAGCAATCAGAACCTAATTAGAAAAAAAATAAAATAAAAATCACACTGGGAGAGGGGAGATTAAGCCTTATACTTATCCCTTCAGCTCTTAAAAATATGGAGTTACAAACTAACAGAGACTATTCAGCATTGAAACAAGTGGGATCAAATACATGTATCTCTCTATGGAGGAGAGTCAGGAGAAACGACTCTACTGCCAGCGGATGTGAGCACATGACTGCTACACGTTTAACAGCTCCAAGATAACATGATGAGGACAGAATGAATAACAATCAAAAAATTTTGAAAACAAGCCCTTAAACTTCAAGTTTTACTGAAACTGCTGACTCTTTAATCTTCCGGTATTTAAAAAAATGACCAATCAATGAGAAAAACAGAAACAAGGAGCCAGTATGACAGATGAGTACCTGGATTTTGCAATTAACAAACAGTTCTTCCACAGTCTTCCTGTCTCTTTCATGCAAACCAGCATGATGGAGGCCGATTCCAAAGGCAAGGGTCAATTTCAGGTTCGACTCACGAACTGTAGCAATTACATCAGTCATCTGCAAAACAAAACATCAATAGGTAACAACAATAATGGTGATGGTTTTTACAGGTGTGGGTTCCATACAGTATATGACGTGTGATATAAAGCAGATGTCTTTGACATAAAGTAGAGAAGATGTTCTCAATATCGGCACACAAAATATGAGCAGAGCCATCAGTTTTTCACAATGCTGTGCAGGCAGTAAGAATTACTGATAAAGTAATCAACCAAATATAGTGATCAAAAGAACTTGGGACACTGTTCCAAGCATACCACTGTTTAACCATTCATCCGTTCATTCTGTTACCGCTTTATCAATGAAGGGTAGCAGGAGAGCTGAAGCCAATGTGCCAGTTAATCTGTTTTAAATATGATAAAATATTGTCTGCTATAATGCTATATTTATCTGCTATAATATTATAGCAGATAAAGTGCAACCCATGTTGAGAAAAAGTTGTTCTTTTCATGCTGTCACGGCAGTCAAAATAAATATTTTCTGTAGTCTTATGATCATCTTCCCAAAAGCAGCCAAACAGCTGAGAAACTGGGCATTTCACGGTTTTCATAGTGTAAGTTTCTCAAAATGCAGCCAGGCAAGGTGCCGCTGGCTGACTCAGTGCTTTGAAACACAAATGCCAGAAAATGAAATGGCCCCCAAGTGGTCTTCTGCAGAAAGAAGAAGAATTGGCAGTGGATCCAAGATCTAAGGACTTTAAGGCCAGCACTGGCGGGTGTAACTGCTGTAAGAAATTAAGAAGATATTGATGTTTTAAATACATACAGCAGAGATGTCCTAAGCAGAAATACATTCACGTGAAGAAGATGACTGGAATGCAGACCAAAATAGAATGTACTTTCGAAGCTTGCCTGATGGCGCACTCACCCTCATGTAAATACACATGTAAATATACAAGTAAAACAGCCCAAGAGAAAATATTACTGCTCTGTTCATCTGTTCAATGACTGGCAAGAAAAGATGTCTTCTGGTCTTCTATGCTGCCAATGTAACTTTCTGTTCAGTAGGTGAATGAAATAAATGCACCTGATAAAAGAATCGGGAAGCAATACTGTAATAAATTCGGAGTAATCTTGTTCCATGTTAAATGTTTAAAGTCAAAAGAATTTAATTAAGGTAAATGTAATGTAGTCTCATTTGATTAAAGCACCTTTTGCCATATTTTCGCAGGATCACTCAGGTGTTTTGTTGCCGACTCCATGTGGGATAAGAGAAGGGTTTTCCACTCTGCCATGCAGGCCAGCTTTGTGGAGTGACTGGGATATTATTAACTGCTTTTTCTTTCATCTTTGAACTCTGTAGGTCTTAAGATTTCATTTTGTTGTCCTTACAGTACTCACAGGGATATTGAGAGACTACAATACATTTTGCACGCTTCTCTTGATCTGTGTTTTTTAATGACTTTATCTCTGGCTTGCTTTGAAATGTGAAATTCACTACCTGACCAAGGAACCTCACACAGACTGGTGGCTTTTATTCTGAAATCATGAGAACCATCTATGGGTTGTTGAGGTAATTTTGTGCACCTAAATTAATTTAGGTTTGTCACAGCACTGATTTTGAACACTTTATGTAATCATGTCTTTTCCATTTTCATTTCATATTATCTATTGAACTCTTTTTTTTTGTTTTGAATGTGTGGAGTAGGTTGTGTCTACGACAGATACTTTCTGTTACTTCAATGTGTCATGACGGGAAGCTCTAAAGCAACAAAGTGTGAAAATTGTTCAAAGGTCTGAATACTTCTACAAGGCACTGAACATCCATTCATTATCAGAAAGCCTCTTATCCCTGATACAGGTTACAACAACCCGGAACCTACCCTGAAGGCAAATGGCACAAGGCCACTTTGAACGTGCACAGACACACACAAACACAATTTACAGACACCAATTATCTTGGCCAGCAGGGCCAGAAAACCCAGAGAAAATCTGTGCTAAAATGGGGGGTTAAAACACGCAAACTCCACACAAAAGGTACTCCTTTTGTATGGAATGAAACCCAAGAGCTCAGAGCGGTAAGGCAGCAGGACAAAACATAGGACAATACATATACTGTACCTAAATGAAGAAATGCATTTTAAATCCAAATGTTCCAGTACCTTTGATTTATTTTGCTATTAAGTCCAAATAAATTGCTGTTTTGTCTAACATGAGTAATTTGTTTAATATGGTGCAGCTGCTGTTAATTTCAAACATATCAAATAAGCAACGCATACCAAGAATTGGTAAAATACAAGGGCTTTTCAGGATGCTGATACTCTAACAGCTTAGTACCTGACTGTGAACAATTTCATATTTCCAAACAGATAATGGCTCTAAGCAAGTGCTATAAGTTCAGAATTTGTATCATGGGCTTGCAAAAATGAATTATATATATATATTTCTGAAGCCGATGAATAAACTATTTGTGTAGAAGATATAACAAATCTCAAAGTGGTCCATTAATCTATACTTCACTGAACAAGTGAATTAATTTTATAATAATTTTACAATTAAAGCTGTTTTTCATATTTAGGCAAAATCAAAAAGCCCTTGTTGCTTGGACCATACAAACCAATGACAAATGACCTGGCAATGCAGTAACCAAGACCTGTTCTTTCATTCTGACCTGTGACCTGAGAGGGACAATGCAAAGAACACAACAGATTTGTTTTACATTTATTATTTCAGATCCACACTTGCTCAGGCACTGCTAGTAGCTTTGGGCTTTAGCCATAGATTTCACATGGAGATACAGCTTACACACAGGCTGGCCAACACTAACAGCTTTCCCTCCCTTTGATGATGGCTCAGCGTGAATTAACCACAAATCCCACTGATGGGGGTTTAAAGTACAGATGTTGCCGTTGTCATTTAAAGCCGGTGGTGGGTGGCTGTAGAGAGGGGACTGCAGGGAAGGCTTGCTTTCCTGTTAGTAATACCTCCACGGCAGTGTAATGTACCAGAGGAGAAATGAAGGCCCCCCAATGGGAGGTCTGCAACTTTCACTTGCCTGCTGTCATTCTAGCAGCAGGGACTCAGAGGTGCTACAAGGAAAACTCCAGGCTTTTTGCATAAATCAATGGAACACACACAGCCACTGCCAGGACTGCTATCATTCTGTACAAGGCGGTACACAGGCAGTACCCAAAACTGCTTGTTTTTTTACCACATCATTTCTTCACCATTTTATTTTTATGGAGCTCTAACAGCTGGTGCAGTTACGACTCATCTGATCTTTTGAAACACAACACAATTTAAATATCTATGTTTTTTTTATATGTAGACATAGACAAAATGTGGCGTCTTTTCATGAATACGCTAATCAACTGTAGTTAACAACAAGTACCGTGGTATACTGTAGTTGTTAGAGTGGATGATTCCAAACATGAGATGGGCTTTAACTGGATGTTATGCTCTGTTTTTAATAGAATTTGTAATATGGTGCAATAAGCACTCACACATACATCCTTAAAAACAGGTAAATAGTCATTACAATTACTTAAAGACTCAAAAAATAAGAACAATATTTTCTACTGCTGTCAGAAAACAAATATTTGTTTTTATAAAATTTTAAAAAGTAATTGAGCAAAACTGGTTGTTCTGCCAAAAATAAAAACTGTCTTAACTCCCATATACTGTACACATCCATCTCAGTTTTATAGCTCTCCTACCTTATTTGTGTTTTTAAAACAATATGTTTTGCTATAAAGGATGCATAATAAATGCAATGAAAATTATGGGCAAAATTACAGAGCCACAATGACAAACCGTGAAAATACTACCATCTGAAAATACTGCAAATAGAAAACTAATGTAAGCACTGAAATAAAATACAATGATGTAAAGGCTATTTATAAAAACAGATGATATGTCGAAATCACCCTGTTAATACCATGACAACATTTGTACCTCAATCGGTAATGGACGGATGGCAGTGGCAAATTACATTACTGAAAGCGATGGTACACGTAAAATCTTATATAATCAGTGATATGAGGCTCATTCCCCAGTATAATCCCATACATCAGTGTAATGTTTCAGTAGCAAGGAAAGATAGACCAATTTTGCAAGCAGAGGAAATGCAAAATCTAAAGATTTTACTATGTTTAATCTGTTGAGTTAAAGAAACAGGATAACATCTTTAAAAAAAATAAAATTAACATAATTTATTACTTGAAATGCACAGGCCAACAAAATCAAGTTGAACGAGCTGATAAATCAATCTGTTTTCTTGACAGCAACTATATTTTTTAGTATTCATGTTATTATCTAAAACAATTTTTTTCTCAGATTTCAGAGCAATACTTTGCTGATGCAACAACACACATATACATTAAATTACCATTAATCTAATCAATATTATGTCAGACACCAACACTCACAAGACCATTTACCCTTATGATTTTTCATTTATAATCATTTTCAATGGATGCAAACATGAAAACAAGGGTAGTTTGACTTTCCAGCACACTTGCCAGTAGATTAAGGTATGCATAGGAAGAAAGACAGTTCAATAGCAGCATTTATCACTATTGGTAAAACAGACAGAAGGTTTTACTAATAACTACCTTTATTAGCAATCACAGCTACACATACACAGTGAGTCACTGTCTGTTCTTACCCAATAAGTCCTAATGTTCAAGAGCGCAGTTGTGAGATTAAACTCAGCTTTTAATGTTTAAAAGTAGTGAATTTCAATGGAGAGGGAAGACAAAGATATTGATATCAGAAGCTGTAGTTTAATTTCTACTTATTGGAATGGTTAAGGTTTATTTGTTTTTCGATTTATTTTAATAACTAGCATTTTTTCTCTGTTACAGCAGACTGTAGTGCCTTGCCTTTGTCCAGAGAATACTGTATGGTGCTGACAAATAACACAATATTTTTCACATTCATTATAAAAATAAAACTAAATTTTCCCCAAGTTAATTGTATTTTTGTTACACTGACCTGGCATACCAAACACTTAATGCAAGAGTGTACATTTTCACAGGATATATATGGTTTTAGTGAATA